AGACAGAAAAGAAACTGGGTTCTTATACATCCAACTCTACTTCTCTTATTAAACAATTCTAATATATCACCCAGTCCTACATCTTTCATGACATATACATGGTCCTCACTAACCACCTGCTTCCTGAGGAGCGCAGATGAGTCTGGGAACAGGCTAGGATACATGCAGACGAGGTCTACCGGACTAATGCAGCCCATCCTCCTGGGCTATAATCCCGATCGCAGTGGGATTATAACACCCCAGGTGGCTCTCTAGCTGGGGATCAGTTTATGACCTGCCTCCTAGCAGGTCTTCCTAAGGCTGCCCTCAAACCAGTAAACTAGGAAAAGTTTCAAGCCATAGTTCAGGACAGACAAGAGAATCCATCTCAGTTTCTAGAAGGTCTTATAAAAGCCCTCTTATAGTATACTAATCTAGATCCTGAGAGCCCAGAGGGCAGACAGCTCCTTTTGACCCATTTCTTTTTGCAGAGCTTCCCTGACATTAGGGCCAAACCTAAGTGTCTGGAGAGAGGGCCCCTGACCCCATAGGTAGAAGTCTTGGTGCTAGCTTTTAAGGTGTACCATGGGAGAGAAAGCCCGTAAACAGGAACACCAAATGCTGGCCAAGGCCATCTGACTGGCCACACAAGGGCCCCCAGGGCCTTGTTTTAAATGCAGTCAAGAAGGCCATTGGGATTGTACTTGCCCTGTCCCACATGGGCCACCGAGGCCATGTCCAAAGTGCCATCAAGAGGGACATTGGTCAGTTGACTGCCCGCATGCACCTTGTGGCATGGGGACATCAAATGCAGACCACCCTCCAGCCAACCTTCTAGGCTTGGTCATGGATGACTAAAGGTGCTCAGGCTCCGGCCCGACAACTGTCATCTCCCACAGGGAGCCTCAGGTAGCCATTACAGTATCAAGGTGATCAATCCATTTCCTTCCTTGTGGACACTGCGGCCACTTACCCAATCCAGGGAGTTTGGGGGACTGACCTCTCCTGTCCCCCTATTATTGAGGTAGGGGACAGCCTTACCTACCTCATCAGATCCCACCACCTAATTGTATTTTCAGGGGTATCCCTCTTACCCAGACATTTTTGGTCCTGCCAACTTGCCCTGTGTCCTTGTGTGGGAAGAGATTTTTTTAGCCAAGGTAGGAGCTTCCATTTCGTTTGCTCCCATTCACCTGACCCCAGACTCGACAGCAGCTCCTCTCCTCCTCCTAGCCTTTTACCCCACCCCCAACCCAGGGGAATTCCTCCTCACACACGGTGACACAAACAGGGCCCTGCTCTCTTAAGTTCCAGAGGACACGGGGATCAACTGCCTGGTCTCTGGTTCCAGAAGAATGAGGTTTCATCCCACAACCATACTCAATCCCACTGGATTGGGAACCCCATATGTTTTTCTCCCTGATTCCCCCTCCATATTCTCCTGTTTCTGCCGACCACATTCTGCTTCATCAGTTTCCCTCTGTGTCTCTAATAACATATTCAAATTTCTAATTAACTAACTACTCAGCTACTGTTACAGGACCACCATCAGCCATAAAGCTGGAGGCACAAGGACCATCAAATAATATACCCAGGCGGTAAGAAACAGTAACACTCCAGAGGTATTCATACCCTCAGACTCAAAAGGGTCTGGACTCTGCAAAAACAGACTTTAATATAAGTTTATTACTGTTAAATGCCCTCAGGAATCAATCACCTGTGTCTGCTGGATGCTGAAGTGATACCAGATAATGAAAGGAAACAGGTGCCTTAAGGTTTGTCTCAGGTGAAGATAGGAAGCCTAATTAATAATAATAGAAAAAAGAAAGCATGTTCCAGATTTCTCTCTCTCTTGCTATATTACTCCATACTTTAACATTAACCAATAAAATTCTGATAGCAGAGTATTAAACACTATAATATCATTGCTACCAGCTCAGGATTTTAAATTCCCTTTGGTTGCTTCCTAATATGTCTAAAAATTTGTCTCCTTTGTAAACTTAAAAATTCTTCTGAGCTCCAGGTAATCCAGGTAATTGGACCCACCAGGACAGGTCAGATCCACTTCAGTTTGTCAGGTCCAAGCTGTCAGATCCAAGCAGCACTGGATGATTTTTAAAGGGCTCAAAACAGCAGCAAAGACAATCAGCTACCTCAGAACATCAAACTACCTCAAGAAATCCCCTCCCCACCCCCACCCCTAAATTAACCAACGCCCACCAAGTCAGCAGGAAGCAGTTCCAGGAGGCACGGTGCCCCCATTCCTGTTCACCCCTAGCCCCTTACTTTTTATAATTACAAAAAGGGTGGAATGTTATTATTCCTAGCCACTTCTGCAGTCACATGACCATGCACGTGCTGTCAGCAAAATGCTTCGTCACTCCAGGGCCTTCCGTCCTATGTAATCTGTGGGCAGCATGGTTACATAATCTGCACACAGCGTGATCATGTAACCTATGTGCATGTGTGGTGTAGGTATGTAAGCCCATATACGCATGTGCGAGGTGACCTATAAAAGCAGGCTCTACCTGCCCGCCCCATGCTCTGTCTCCCTCTTGCCAGAGGTGGTGCACCTCTCTCTCTTTCTCTCTCTCCCCTCCACCCCCCCCACCCCCCGCACCTTTCTTTTTGGTAGGTCTACCCACCTCTACCCTTTCCCTTCCCTAATAAAAACTCTTATAGTGGGTTCCGTTGTACCTCGTGTTTTCTTGCGCCCAGTAAATAACGCCAACAAATAAATAACAGAGGTAAGAAGTCTCTGGTGGCTGGCTGCTCTGCTTCTCTGATCTTTTAGCTTTCACCCTCAATATCTGACTCCAGGCCCCCCCCC